TAAAATCATCATAGCAAGGCAACATCTAAGAGTAAATTCAAAACAATATACTCCAGACATTAGATTGTACCTACCCTTTAATATATATATATATATATATATATATATATATATCAATTGCTGTTCGTTAGTCTCGCTAAAACTCAAAATCGGCTGAACCGATTTGAATAATTCTTTTTTTGTTTTGTTGGAGGTATATCAGGGATGGTTTATATATAAAAAAATAGGAAAACCCATAAGAACCGCTGAAAAAATTCAGAACTGGTTAATTTGAATTTGAATCACTACTTAGGATTACTTTCAATAGTGGTCTATATACAACAATATGTCAAGTTTAAGTTAGAAAAAAATAATATTATATGTATATAACAGTATATAGTCTATCTATACTATACTAATCGTTAAAACGTACCTAGGGACGAACCCGAGCGAAGCGAGGGTGAGTCGCTAGTTAATAATAAAAATTATCGTTAGTACACCAATTTATATTTATTGCTCTTACGCCCAAATAAAAGTTGAATTAAGGATGGACCTACTTTTTTATCTCCACGTTAGATAAACAATTGTATTGTATTTAACCAATATTGTGTTACCCGTCTAGCCGTTAACAGCGCCGTAGTCACTGACTGATAAGAACCAATCAAAGAGGGCAGCGTTAAATCGATGAATCACTTCCTATTTAACATCGAAGCATCGAATGAGTGTATTGAATTCGCATAGGATTTTAGTATAAAAACCTAACAACCTGTATTTATTTCAAAATTAATATTACCTGACTTAGAACATTTTATATTATATATAATAATTTACTTGGTACATTTTTTTTTAAATAAGACCAGCTAATAAAATCATTAAAAAAATTGCTTGTACCGAAAAAATTGAGAGCATATGAAAAATAAACATAATTATTATCTCTACAACCTTAATCGCTCAACCCACATTTTACGATAGTACTCGTAATTTTTATACAACTACGGAGCCTGGCATTGCTAGTTATGTAAACATGCCATGATTTATGACACGTATCTCTTGCTCGTATGGAATAGATACTAAACTAGGTTTTAAATAACATTATTATGTAAGTCAATGTACATTATACTATAACTTCACATACTACAGCTAACTCTTATACCTATCTAGAGATAGTGTACACTATCATAATGGTTTGCTCTCAAGTCTCAACTGAAAATAATACTTTGGATCATATCCCGTTAATAAATTTAGATATTATAAAATTAAGATGTTCTAACATTTTATCAATTTTTGATATATTAGTATTGTCTATGTGTAGTTAGTATTAGTATTGTATAGTGTATTAGTTGTGTATTAATATTTTCCATACAATTTGTATGGGAAAACTTAAAGTTCGATGGAGAACCTCTTAGAATTGGAATTTTGAGCTCCGCTTTTAACAGAAGCTTTGTTGGGACATTTTCTAAGATATTGTGGGGTGAGAGAAAAGAAAAAAAAAATATTGTCACACCCTAATAAATATATATATATATATATATATATACTATTTATTTACCCACTACTTCTTTCCCTTTTCGAAGGAAAGGGAAACAAAATTGTTATGAATCATTTTCTTTTCAAAGTTCTTTATACCTTACTTACCTTAAATATAAAACGTTGAAATAGAAAATAGCAGAGATACGATAAAGACGTGTTTAAATCTGTTACGAGGTAAACGTCCCTTTTGAGGAAAATGGCTCAATCGAGGGGAGAAAAGCATCAGGGATTATGGGAAGAACTAAGCAGTAAGTACCATTTCAACAGTAAGGCAAATGAGTCAATAACTTTTAATTGGTCTTTCAGTCGATAATATCTCATCAAATCATTGTATTAGGTACTGTTGTTCTTCAAGCATTGATTGATATGCACGATAAAATAAAATTAACCTTTTTAAATATCTCTTGCACAGCGCATTTTTTTTCAGGTTTGAAGACTTGAAGCGAATCTTGACTATGTTAAGTGATACATATAATATAAACTAGACTTGCAACGAATATTCGGCTATTATTCGGTATTCGGCCTATTCGGCTACTTTTTTCCTATTCGGCCGAATACCGAATACTTAAGTAATATGTTTTGTTGTAATCAGATAATTGGTGAAATGAAAATATTGATTTATTTTATAATAATATATTTTTCTTATAATCATTAAAGTAGTCATAGGTACCCACATAATCAAGTTCTGTATTATAAAAATTTACCAAAAAAAACTATGAAATAAATGTCTATGCACTTGCATTATCATAACTAAATTTTGAATGTGACAAATCCCAGCTTCAGAGAAAAGACGTTCCGAATAAATACTACCTCCTGGCGCTAAACAAGAAACAAACACGTCGATACAAGTTATGCCTAATATCCGGCTATTCGGCCAAGGAGCCCACCAAATATTCGGTATTCGGCGTATGGCCGAATATACTATTAGTTACAAGTCTAATATAAACACATATTAGGTACGGTCAAGTTACATACATTTAAAAAAAATATCTATACAATTCGTTGTTATGAATCAACCAACTGTATTAAAATTGTCTACTTTTACATACATATATATGTATATAATTGTCATGGATACTCTCTCACGATGCACGCATGATTTTTAATATAGCAAGAAATCGGAAAATGATGAAAAGTATTCCTATAATAAATATGTAAGTAGAATATTAACATACATACTTAAGTTAATAGATGGAACGTGTTAGAATAAGACGGGCAGATCTCCAAAAACCTCTTCACGTGATTAATCTTAAAAAACAGCGTGTGTTACAAAAATAAATATTTTACCTTTAAATGGTATGCTGTAGGTATCCAATGATAATATGTGGGTTCTAAATATATAACACACGTGTTCTGTAACAACTAAGAAGGGTCGACTGCAGACTGCGCATACCCAGGACACTCATAAGAAGAGAATTTTATTCGATACTGAGTCGCAAGAGAGCATTATAAATTCAAAGCATAGTCTTACATAGGTGACGATATACATATATGTAAATATAAACTTACTATATACTCAAAGCTGAAATTTAATGCCATGACAAAGTTTTTAGCAAGCTAAAAAAATCTATTACGTCAATAATAGAATATTCAATCCACATTATATACGTCGGAAATTGTATAATATAAGAACGAGTTATTTCCTTTTCAGAAATTGATCAATTTATAATTTATATGATCGATCCAATCTCGAATATAATGTCAACCAATGAACATCGTACTAAAGAATTTCTATTCCTAACTTAAAAAAGAATCGTATAAAATAGACCTAAATGTAAAAATAGCAGTACCCGCGGTTTCGCCCGTGTTCAAACTTCCGATCGCTACCAAACTTCACAAGATCACCCGCTCTAATCTGAAGATTGCCTGGAAATTTCAACAAGGATACTTTTTACTGCTGGAAAATATCTCATCTTTGAGAAATCTATACTAAACGTTAAAACGTAAGTAGGTACGAACCCGAGCAGACTGTAGATTATACTTTTTTTAAGAGCGTATAGAAATGGATATAAATTACATATATACTATTTATTTTCTGTGTCTTGACCCTTTGAATTGGAGCACCATACTTAATTTTCAAATATGTTTTTATAGTATACTAGCGACGCACCCTCGCTTCACTCGGGTTTGACCCTAGGTAGGTTTTAACGGCTATTATGAAATATATAGACTATATATTATATGATATATAACCTATAGCTTTTCTCAATAAATGGGCTATGTAATGCAAAAAGATTTTTTCGAGGGTGAGTCGCTAGTATTAGAATAAGTATATAGAAGTATAGATATAGATAGCATAGAAGTATAGATGTCCTTAAATGAAATCATTGCCAAAACTTGATTGTTATTCGTGCGTCAGTACTCATTTGGCAGGCACTATCAGGCGTTATCATATGACTGTAGCGAGCTAATGATTACTGATGAGATGGACGTGCACCCAATGCAATGTTAATTGAGTTTGTTTCCACGCCGTCTGATGCGGGTCGGAATTTACATTGTTAGAGTTGCAGTGGGTAACTTTATACAAATTCTGCCTTAGTTATTTGAAGTTATATCTCCTCGTGTAGTTATTTAAATGATGCAAGTTGGCTTCAAGTCTTAGAAATGTGGTGTATTTAATTATTTCTCAGTTTCTTTATAAGTAGTAATTAACCGTTTTACAAAAACTATAATAAAATTAATCCTGCTGAAAATTGGAATGATTTAAAAAAACATCCTTCTTTAAAAATATCGTGCAGTAATATTATCAGTTTGTGACGGTTTAACGTCTAATAACTGCTTTCATATTTGAAATTTGTAATAACATCTACGTTTAACTTTTAGAATATGGAGATATGGATTATATTTACTCTAAAAAAAGATAACAAGTTAATATTAGTCCCGCTGACTTTCTTTCGCACGTTCTTCTCAGGTCTGAGGCTTCTTCTTTCCGAACTGGTAGTAGACTCATGACGTTCAGTAAAAAAAATTGTAATAATTTACCTAATGCTGAATAAAATATTTTGAATTTTGAATATAGATCTCAATGTGTTCAAAAAAACCTTTATTATTGCAAACAAAATTTGTTTTTTTTTTTAATCTAGAAGATACGTATAAAAATATAGCTATGTACAAAGTACCTACGTGATTCATAAACTTGCGTAGGTTGATCCAATTATGGTATGTTTAAATATATACAGCATAATTTCTCCACTGTGACTCCAAAAATAACCTATAGTTAAGTAACTTAATGTCAACTATCATTTTATTCTTGTCCACGTGGATAATTTTATAACGGAAACCCACACCACTTGATGTTACATACCTTAATAAACTCATCTATTAGAAAGGAAATTTTTATAGCAAACATTTATGACATTTGTGACTTTATGTTCAAATAAAAAGTATGTTTTAGTTATAAATGCTTTTATTGACTTCATTGCAATAAAACCAGTTAATGAAAATATTTATTAAATTTTAAAAGTAATAAATATCAGTATTTAAATACTTACATAATCTACCGAAGCTAAGGGACAAGCGCTTCCTGAGCTTTTGCATTTTACTCATAGCACCACCCCTTTTTTCTCTCATTGTCACGCCTGTGGACAAAGAAAAAGAATGGATAAAGTAATTGCTATCTGTTCAGAAAAAAATCTAATATTCTAAACATAGGTACTTTGTTTGTACTGGTTATCTAAAATGGAACTACGGCATTTTAATATTAAAATTAAGCTTACAGAGGTATAACATAGTATAAACAATTTTAATTTATTTTGCAATTATATAAATACGTAACTAACAAAGCCTTGTAACAGTTATTAACTCTCACCACTGATGTATTTCCACTAACCTTGCGGTCATCAATCCACACGTTAATCCAATGATATATTAGGCGCTACACACGCAAGAATTTCTAACAGTTATACATTTTGATTAATTGTAAAATATCTTAAAATACATTCTGCATCTTTGTCTTTAATCTATCTGATTAGTACTACCAAGGTCGCGAGTTCGATTATACAGGTATTCGTCCATATTGATGATACCGGTAGTATCGAGATATTGACGATACAGATATTTGTGTCAAATTTCACCTAAATATGGCCATTCACTGCCATTTGGAACCAGAAGGTGTTTTAAAATAATTTTTCAGTACATCAAGTGAATCCTGCTGTACGCTAGTGTGTAACAAATAAACTAGAGCGATGCGAGATCGTAGTACTAATGTAAAACAAATATTCATTACAACTGATTAATAAACACATGTCATACAAAACTTCCTTGAATTGAGCTGGTCTACTATCCACAATGTTCATAAAGTCAGTCGTGGGATTCCTCGGAAACCAGACCTTAAACTAATTACCTACTGTTAAAACAAAACTAGTATTAGATATAATAACTAAATATTAAAGAATATCATAGAAAAAGTAAATAATAAACTTTTTTCTACTGTGTAACGTAATTAGATTTGTCTTCCTAGTTCGCAGTAATATATGTAATTGTTATAAAAGTTTTTACGTTGATAGAGCTGTGAGTTACAAGTTAATCTCGGCGATGTATGCTTGCGTGTGAAAATTCCACGTACTCGTTAGACTATACTTTTTCTCTTAACGCGTATGATATAGTGCATGAATTCTTAGGATTATAATAACAAATTTCTAAGGCGTAATTACAAGGAACTACTAACATTAACTCATTTTATTTTTCCCATCCAATATTATTCACATTTACATACATATCTATACATATAATAAAATTTTAACTAAGCCGAATCTGTACATTAAATATTTTTTTGGAAAATCTTATTGCAACAGATATTATTATCGATACAGAGGCCAAATCTATAATTTTTAGAATTTTTGTCTGTCTGTTACCGCATGACGGAAAAACCACTGGAGGGATTTTAATGAAATTTGGTATGATGGTAGCTGGTTATCCGGGTCAACATATAGGATACTTTTTACTGCGGGAAAATATCTCATTTCTGAGAAAAAATACAAAAACTGCAATGTAAGAGTATACAAATATATAAAACTTAAGAATCTGGTTCTCGGTCATCTGAACGCGGGCGGAGCCGCGGGCAATGCTAGTCTTTTAATATAAATAAAACATTTCGGGAGACTGATATTTTATCTCCTAAAGCAAAGTAGGTGACCGACATTCAATTCGCTAATGAGACAAGATTCAAAACAACGTCTCACTAACAACTCGTTAGTAAACGTAAATTAAAAGGGAAATTACAGGCGTAAGGCAATTTGAAAGTGGCAAGCAAATTTTCTATTTCATTTGAAAATCTCTCAAGTAGGTCATTTCTAAAGTGAGATTCGTTAAAATAAACATAAATTGAATTTTATAAAATATATTTCCAGGTTTAAGAAATAAGTATATTCTTAATCGTTTGTGTCATTTTAGAATAAAAAATATGATATTAATAAAATAAAATTATTATTTTGAGCGTAAGCGTAGTAACTAAATATTTTATGACGATACTACGTTTTGTCCATAACTCTGCTCGCATGGCAATCAGGGCAGAGAGATAGTACCTTATTATCCGTCCCCATGATGTGTTCTTGCTAACGATCATCAAAAAAATTTTTTGAGTTTTAAAGCTCTAGTTCTTAGTTATCTAAGAGATAATAAATTAAATTAACTTTAATTTTAATTAAATATATTTTACACAATATTTTACTAAAATAAATTAATATTATCTCATATTACGTAGTAATGTTTACCAGACACTCGGCAAATGCGACAGATGCTGTCAATTACATCTCTGTTTACCATTAAACTTCTTGCGTGACGCACAATGAAGAGATATTTTATATTTTACTCGCTTTTTTAACTTCACTCGTAAGAAATCTTGGAAGTTGTTTTTTACCTACTTTTAATTATGGTATCCATTGAAGCTTCTATGTGAAATCCAGTGTATAAGAACATAATAAGATCGAGCTGATTTGTGAACGGAAATGGATAGTGGAATTCTGCAATGACTTCTATTAAAACCTTCGAAGTAACTTATTTTGTTCGTTTCGACGAGTTCCATTCATTACAGTTGGTCAATATCATGTACATATATTGTATACATATTTGTTTACTGTTAGTTAAATTTTATTATTACTGATAGAGCATTTAGTTTTTTACTTAAAAAATTTAACACGGCAATGTCTTTTAATAAAGTTTTGTGATTTTTTTTATAGATTGAATTGACGGCCTAACAAATCCTCAGAAGGCTTGCGACGTGACCTAAATATTTCCGAGTTGACGCAGTTGGCAGCAATAATGAACTCATAAACAACTCTCGAGAAAAAATGAGGAATACGCCAATTAAACGATAAAACGGTTTCACATCGACTGGTTCTCTTAAAGTTTGGCACGCATCGGAGACGAGACTGCGGCCTGCAGCCATTGGAGGCCGCTTATCACGAACTGCATTGAATTCGATTGCAGTGACCCAGAAAGCGTATTACCGTTTAGAATTACCTTTTCTCGTGTCTCATCTGATTGGATATTTAAGTTTACTGGATATAATTTAATAGTGTAGTATATCTCGGGAATAGCCAGCATCATGTTTCAAAACTTATAAATTTTAACTAGATTTAGATGAAATTTATTAGGAAAAACCTATTCTCAACGATTTCTTATTTCTTTGCTCCAGTTAAAAATCACGTACAGTATCCACTCATGTCAACTCCCCGCTGACCAATCCCCTCTTTCGTTTCTATTTATTCTTTCTATTTTAAATTGTATATTTTTTCGGCCTGACCATTGTTGTAATTTTAAAATGACTGATTTATAAAAGTATCTTATTGTGTGCGTTCGCGTTGTCAGTATGGCCAGTATAATAAATTAATGACTGTTTTATTATACATTAAAATAGCGAAACCTTACAATTATTAGTTATAGTTTATTTATTTAAAAAAATATAAATATTTTTTTTATCATATTATACATCTTGCACAGGTCGATAAATTCACAAAGAAGAACAACATCGACATATCGACACACCATAAGATTCATAGCACCAAATTACTAGGTTCAATATTGAATATGCTTCAAATTCTGCTTCGATATGGTGCGTCTGTCAACACGCCTAGGGCTTATACAAACACGGCCACCATTGACAAACAATCACGATGTCTACGCTATCTAATCTGAAAAGCGACAGGAACAATATTCGTTTTCGTATACGAACATATAAAAATAACTTTACCTAAGAATAAGTCGAAAAAGAAACTTTTACGTAGTATTCATCTCATTTTATCGCATAACTAATGTCATATAAAATAAAATTATTATTATTCAATAAGTATATAAATAACAGAAAAATGGCTACAATTGTCCGTAGAAAATTATTTTTTTTTTCAAATGACATTATTTTATACGTGATTAATTACGCCTACGTGTTCTTGTAATTGAAATAATAAGGTAATAAATAATAAATTATGTCATATTTAGCCTTATCATGCAACATTCACAATCATTTCAAAATGTTAATGATAAAATGATATCTTCATAAGAATGCGTTTCCGTATCAGTTGTATTAGCTATTTAGTCATACTTCTTCCGAATATGTTAGTAACGTATTAAAATATACTATGATTAAAATATATATCATATATATTAAAATGACATCGACTATACCTATTATGTGTACAAAATGCCTAATCTTATCTGGTTGGTGAAATATGCAGGGATAATAAAGTACCTAATTATAAAGCCAAATCTCACCACTTATAAAAAATAGAGTAAAATTTAAAAAAAAACTACAGTATTATATTTTGATCTGCTCAATTCTGAGAAGCTTTAGACATGAGGTTTTTATGCAAATAGACTTCCTCGTGTTTTCTCTTTACACAGGTAATAAATGTGGTCGTAAACTTATCCTCTCGCCGCATCCCCGGGGAAACGGTTTAACTGCCAATTTAAAACCGTTATCCATGATTAATGATGTAAAACATGAAACGGTCTTATTTGGGTTAGTTAGATGGCTTTATGATTCTCATACCGCAAACTTATTTAAATTTAGATAATTAAGGTTTACATATATTTTTTTGAACGTCTGGCAACACATTTTTTCATGTCATTATAGAAAGTCTTTTTAAATGGAATATTTATTGTAAGGACATATTTTGTTTGGAAAAATCTACGTTATTCGCAAGGTTAATTAAGCTAATCATACAGATAAAAAAAACTTCATTAACAGTACACACTCATAATTTTTACATACACAATCATAGAATAATCAACATTTATTCAAATTTTCTTTAGATATTTTAAAACTTTTTTATAAAAACATATTAAAGTTTGGAAAAGGTAAGTAGAATAAAGATGAACGGAATGCTTGTTTGTAGATATCCAAGCCCAAAAGTTTTAATGGATTTCACCGCATTTGTTACAAACTTGTTTGAAATTATTGGCAAGCTAAATTTTATATAGGTGGAACCACAAATGGATGTTGAAAATTTACATCCACCCAAAACTAACTTAACAATCGGATAAGCTATAGGTAAATAAACTATTTTCGGTCGACTCTAAAGTAATCTATATGATACTCCAGGTTATATTCTAACTTCAGTTATATCTATGTCGGTACTAAATT